TTTCTAACTAGGGGACCAAAGGTGCTGCTAAAGAAAAGTTGAAGAGCCCTTCCAACACTTTGTTATCTGTGGTGAAGATGGAATCTTAAAATATGTTTAGAGTTTTGTCTATTTTACAAGTACATTGATGGCCTAAGTTCCTCCCTGTCTCCTGCCATTTGAGCCCTAAGAGATCCTGGTTGCTAAATAGGAGGAATGTGGAACATTGATATGGCCTCTGTGAAGCATGGGGGAGGGAGAACAGTTCTTGCCTGTGGGCTTTATGCTCATCTTTTGGAAACATTGATGTCATATTCAACTTGCAAAGAATCATACTGCATTTTACGACCACTAGGTTAAGTAGAAGGCATTGAAGAATGCATTATCTTGTAGGAAGTATTTTGATATATGAAGTTTCGCAGTTGAAGGAGTTATTTAATGAGTAAAAGCTAAGAAATTTCATTGAAATCCTGTCAGTTTAAAAATAAATTGATAAAAATAACTAAACTACCTAATAGAGAATTATCCAACCAAGAGGAGAGTCAAGTGAATATTATTTATGGGTTAGTCACAGTTTATTTGTAACCTTGATTATATTAAAAGATAACTTTCTGTTAGTATGTTCTGCGTTAATAAAAATGAACAAAATTAATTTTGATATGTTCAAGTGTCTTGCTAAAAGAACAATGCCTCAATGTTGTTGCTAATGTGTGGCACTAAATTTTAGCCCAGGGTCAGTGAGTTCGAGTTTTAACGTATCCATGCCTAGATTTGATTGCCATATGTGTATATATTAATCTCTCCAACAGCATTAACTGCAAGGTTTATCTGTATTACTGAGAAACATCTGTTCTTACCAAGAAGTAGTCACATTGTCATCTGAGTTATAGGCAGGTTGGGTAACTTTGGTGTTAGATCAAGGGAAATTTCTGGTAAATAGAAAATGAAGAACTGGTAGAGAGGCAAGGATGGTGAAAATAAGAAGTGGGCAGAGCATGCAGGAAATGAAAAGCCAGACTAAGAGAGAGGAGCAGCTGAGAGGTAGGGTTAATGAATGCTATTCAGCCTGCTCAGCTCCTGTTTCGTGGAAACACTGCCTTGCAATTATCGTATAGTCTTTTGTTGGTTAAGCTGTAAAGTTTTGTTCTTTGTGAACATGGTTATTTTGGGGGAGGGTGAAGGGAGTGAGGAAATGCTATTTCAAGAAGAATTTTGATGCATAAATGTTGGTTGTTGAGTTTGGATGATCCAGTAAAGTGTTTTAGAGCGTTTTTCTAGCCCATACCCCATCAATAAACATAAAAATCACATTTCCCCTAATGTCATTTGAAATTTCAAAATAAATATATCTAAAATCAAATCAGACCATGGTGACCTTATTTGCTTTTATATATCTGTAAAATTTGTTAAAGTAACATGTGTACACAATTTTAAAAATCTAGGGCCAGCCCTGGTGGCCTAGTGGTTGAGTTTGGTGCACTCTGCTTCAGTGGCCCAGGTTTGGTTCCTGGGCATGGACCTCCACCACTTGCTTGTCAGTGGCCATGCTGTGGTGGTGGCTCACATAGAAAAAGAGGACGATTGGCAGTGGATGTTAGCTCAGGGCAAATCTTCCTCAGCAAAAAAAAAAATAATTAAAAAATCTAATGGCCTTGTGATGAAAAACAGCAGTCCCTGTCCCAACTTTTTTTGCCTTCCAGAGAGAATCATTTTGACTCCAGAAGTTGTTTCTTTTGGTATTTAGAGATTTAACCGTTTGAGACCATAATATCTTCTTGATGAGGTTACCTGATGATTTAGCTCTCTAACAAACATACCTCCTCTTCTCCCATTATATAGTTATAATATTTAGTAAATGCATTAGCTGTTGTTTAATTATGACTATAAATTACTACAGTATACAGTATACAGTAAGAAAAAAGCACACAGTGATTACATTTTGCATCGTTTTTCTTGGAATTAATTATCACCTTATTTTTAACACATATAAATTTCTGGAAACCCCTCTTGAAATTTTTTCAACTTCTCTGTCGGGTCCACCATGTTCTCATCACTAGTTTTGAAGGGTTTTTCTCCTTACACATCAGATAATCTGATTCCCTGTTTTTACTACAGAGGTCTATTCTGTGTGTGTTCTTCTGGCCAGTCTGTCTGTACTGGTTGTCCTCTTGGCTGGCTACACAGCCATTACTCACGCCCTCCTTTTGTCACCCTCCTATGTTAGATCTGCTGATTCCTAGTTTACACTCTTTGTTTACTGGAGTACTTCCTAAGACACTTAAAGCTTCCTTTGTGCGAAAGGAAGGGGTTGAAGGAGGGTCTGTTTCTTTCCTTTTAACACTCTGCTTCCACCATGTCTTCCACCTTACCTTCTATTTTCCGCTTCACATGCATTTCCCTGTATCTGCCTCTCTGCGTATCCCTTCCGCCTAGTTGTCTTCCATTACTTCTCTCCAGATAAAAAATTCTTTTGTCTTCTACCTGTGGTAGACAGCGATGGAGGTGAGAGATTGTATTTGTTTGGCTGAGAGAGGTAGGGCAGAGGTCTTGGGGATCTGACCATTCTGTTGCATAATTTTCAGCTGGTCATTTTCAGGCGTGTCCCTTGGCGCCGCTCTCTGCTGTAACGTTTACCTCCAAGTCTGAGCTTCTCGGGTTGTGGGACCAGTCAGTATGCTTCTCACCAGTATCCCCCTTGTAATCCCTTTAGATTGCAGCTTCCTGTGTCGTGCTCAGTCATATCCCACCTGCTTTCTGTTTTCCAGAAGTCTGTTGAAATTGCTTTTCTCTTTCTTTCTCCTCTCTATTCTCCATCCGTTTGGGCTCATATTCTTTTTAGAAAATGATTTTTAGATTATCATCCAGTAAACTTTTTCCCTTGGAGCGTACAGTTCTGTGAGTTTTAACATACAGATTTGTGTAGTCATCATAAGTTACAGAGCAGTACCATCACCCCCCAGAATTCCCTTATACTATCCTTTTATAGTCACCTGTCCCCCCGACCCATAACCCCAGGCAACCACTGATCTCTTTTCAGTCCCCATAGTTTGTCTTGTAGAATGTCGTAAATGGAATCATACCATATGTAACCTGTTGAAACTGGCTTCTTTCACTTGGCATAATGCCTTTGAGATTCAGCTGAGGTGATGTGTCTATCAACCATGTGTCTATCAATACCTTATCTCCTTTCAGTTCTTTTTCTTTGGTTTTACTGGCGGGAGAAGGAGAAGAGACAAAACTCTTGGGGCCGATCCACTATCTTAAATCAGAAACAGTTCAAAGCGCCTTTTGGTGATTTTATAACATTTAAAAAAATCTTAAAAGATAATCTTGTCATGTACTTTGGGTCATGAATGGGAGCTCATCTGTTTGTGTATCACAAGCTTCTCCATCCAGGTAATGTAGGAGACGACTGAACTGACCATACATCACTTTCACTATCAAGATAGACACCACTTTGTTTCAAGGACTAGAAATGCAGAGAAAAAAGCTTTGCAAATATATGTCAAATTGCAGTCAGTGGTCTAAAATAATCCTGGGGTGTGTTGTCTTCCTTTTCACAACAAAGCTTGTAAAAGAGTGGTTTATATTTTATTGTCATCTTCAGCTTCAGGCAGGCTCTCACTCTACGATCACAGTGGACTCTGTTCACTGTCGTCTGTGTCTGAAAGATTCAGTAGAAAGAGTATGGGTTTTAGAAGCGTGCTGACCTGGCTCTTTTATATATATATATATAAGCTATATCTTCAGATTACTTAATCTCCTAAACCATTTACTTCACCATTTCCTTGTCAGTAAAATGAGACTTTTAATACCCACTTGACAGATTTTGTTTTGAGGAATAAGGGAAGTGATAGATGACAAGCATTTAGCACAAAGTATAGACAAATGGCACTTAGTGAACAATTGCCACTCCTTTTGGTCGAATCAGATGAACTCACCCTTATCTTGAACTTTGTGCTCCATTTGATAGTTCGGCATTTTTCTTCCCTCTTCATCCTTAGCATATGGCTTCAGGAATATCTCTTCTGATTTTCTTCCTATTTATCTGATCCCTAGTCTCCTTTATATATCCCTTGGGTATGCTCACCATTTAAAATGTCGGGAATTCTTAGAGCATATGTTCTGGGCCCTTTACTCACTTTACACATACTCCCTAAGCAATCTTAAGTTCCTCATCACTTCTCCTACCATCTTCACACTGACTTCTTTATCTTTTTGTGCCTTGACATCTCTCCTGAGCTCTAGGTTGTTCAATTATAGATATGTTTTTGGATTATTCTTGGATCTCTCAAGCTTAATAAGGCCAAAACAGGAATCATCCCATACTAGCCTGGGGTTTCTTTTATATTCCTTGATAGAGTGAATAGTATGACCAAGCACTTTATGAGCTAAGCCGGAAACATTGCTCTCCTCCCCAATTTCCCATGCCGATAAATCACTACATTCTGCTGATTTTTGAAGGTACTTCCTCATAGTTGGCTCTCTAATCCATCCCCTTGTCTGCATCCCTTTGTCCACATCTCTTTTGCTGCTGACTTATTTCAGGTTTTCTTTCTTCCTTGGATTATTGTAAGACCCTTCTAGTGGACTCTATTCCTGTAACTCAGGTCCAATCCAGCCTTTCACTACTACCAGAATGATCTTGAAATAGAGTTCGGATCTTCACAGTTTGCTGTTTAAACCTTTAAATGGCCCTAAGGCACCTTCAGGATAAAAGTTAGACTCATCGTTAAAATCTCACTGCCTTTCCACTGTTGCCTCACACCTCCATTTGTCCTTCTGCCCAGACCAAACTATCTGCAGTTCCCCAGACATCTGTTCACCCCCTCTTCTTTGCCTCTGTGTTTGCTATACTGCCTGCCTGGATATTTCTTCTGTTGACCTCTTTCTCCTTACCCAACTTCTCCTCCGATAATGATAGCTAACATTTATTGAATTGTGCCATTTAATCTTCACAGCCACCCAGTGATGATGGATACTATTATTTCCATTTTATAGATGAATAAACTGAGGTATAAATAGATTAGATAACTTGACTTCAGTCATCTCACTATTAATAGATAGCTTCAGGATCTGACTTCCAAGTTCTTAACTACAACAATATTTTTTCTCTTTTCACTCCATCTAGGCCTCTGTTTTACAGTTCCTGTAGTAGATCATGCTTGATCCTAAATCCAGATTATTAATCATGTTCTTGCCCTAAATCTGAAATGCTTTTTAATCTCTCTTCCATTTATGCTTACAGGACCCTGCTAAAATCAGTCTTTTTGAAACCTTCCTAATGACCACCACCTTCCTTGAATTTCCCATAGCAACTCTTGCTGTATCAGGTATCAGAGAGTAATTTGTCTGCATCATAATTTACTGTTGTGTGTATACTGTCTCTTCCTAATTAGATTATATGCTCCAGAAGGTCAGAGATTTAAAAAGTTTTCCCCTGAGCATTTTGCAGTGTACATTCACAGTATGTAGTCAATAAGTTATTGTTCAAAAAGGAGTGAACTCATATTCTTATGTTTTATGAAAGTATTTTTCATACATAAGGATTTTAGAGCCAGAGATAAGATAATTAGTCCCATCCCTTAACTTGTATGATGAAAAGACTGAGGCTTGCAATTAGATAAGTTATTTAATAATAAAATAATACAGCAATTGAGACGACCAAAGAACATCTGGAATTATGTTGAAATGCTTTTATCTAACTAGTACTTTTTATACATTAAACTTCAGTGAAGCTCTTCTACTACATGGTTTTTGTAAAACTGGAAGCATAGTTCCAGAACTAAAATAGACGCATCCCAACTACACAAAACACTATTTTGGCTTTCCTCCACTTTTTATTTATAGATGCTATAGGCAGGATCAAAGTAAGGGTTGTCATCTTGTTTTTTAAAGGAAAAGAAAGATTGAGTAACTTTGTGATTTGTTAACTTTCCATGAGTAATTGTGAAATATTTTGACTCAATACTTTCACATCTGACATCCGTAAACTTATCTTACTGACAAAACTTAACTGTTTACCTAACTCACATTTTCCACATATCTAAATAGCATACTGCCAGTTCTGTTATAATGTTCAAGAGTCCTCTGAAGTATTTTTCAAAAGAAGAGCCCTTTCTAATAATTTTCTAATATTATAGAAGAACCTCACACTGATGTTTTGGGAGAAGCCTATTTTGAAAATAACTGTTCTGCTTCAGAGGATGAATTTACAAATCTGGTAACAAATCTCAAGTGTGCCTGGGAAGATCCAGTAAAGTTCAGTAGGCACTCAGGTGAATTTCGGCCATACTTTTCTGTCAGGACAACCACAGTTTACAGAGCAAGAGCAAGGAGACAATGAGGAGCCCTGGGACTGAAAAATGTTGGAAAGGAGTATAAGTACTAAGAAATATTTTTTGAATTTTTATACTCAATAAAATAAGTTCATTCTTTTGGGCAGCATACTATTCATTTAACCAGTATTTAGTGAGCGTTTTCTATATGCCAGTTGCCATTCTAGGTGCTGGGGGTACAGCAGGGAACCAGAGTTCTAAGCAGAGTCACTATCTAATGCAAACCCTTACTAGGATCACAGCTTTGTGGAAGATAGACTGGAAGAGAAGCAGCAAGGAAACCAGTTAAAACGGCTTTTGCAGTCATGCAAGCAAGAGATGATGACGGCATGCAGTGCTAGTAGTGGTGGATATAATGAGAAGTGGTCAGATTGATGATATTTTGAAGGTCAGCCAACAGAATTTTCTAATGGATTAGTTAGACATGTTGACAAAAATAATCCATAACTGATCTATAAATGAAAATTGGGGTGAGTTTATTATGAGCCAGACCTGAGGACTAGGTTAGACTGGGGCCTTCCTTCCCCAGGGAAGGAAGGGCACCAAAGAAGTGGGGTGTACAGAGTGGTTATATACCCTCAAAGAGCATGTATCACATATGATTGAAATGTCCCTTTTACAGTAGTCACGAGACTGCTCTGTCAGCACAGCGATTGATGAACACAGCAGGAAGTAGGTTGGCTGTCTCAGTGGACACAGCAGGTAGCCCGTCTGTTGTCTGGACCTGGATGGTCACAGGGTAGGCACAGCAATCAGTTCCTAGCCTAGGCAGAGATGTTTCTCCTTAAGGAAATGCAGATGTGGAGGAGGTTGCATTTTTATCTTAAGGCCGTTTGTTCTTGTCTTTGGGACATAGCAAATGCTTAAAGCAGATATACAATGCTTGCTTAATGACCATGACAGGCCATTTTGAAGGAATGAGGTCAGGCCAAATTAGGTTTACACCGAATGGCTTCCTCATGTGTTCCAATATATCCTATTGCTTGCCATTTGTTTATCATACAGTATGATAAAAACAGTCACAGTGTGGGGCTTGAAATGAAGGAAATTGCAGAGAAGAAGGCTTGGAAATGAGTGGAAAGTAGAATTCAGTTTGGGTTGTAAGTTTGAGATGCCCATTAGACATCTAATTGGAGCTGTCTGGAGCTAAAGGGAAAGATCAGGCTGGAGAGTTGTCAGCACACAAGTGGTATTTCATGGCAATTGGGTGAAATCACAAAAGGGATGCACGTAGAAAAAGGTGGTACTGTGAAATTTACACATTGAGAGGATGAGGAGCCAGGAAAGGAAACTAAAAGTAGCAGCTGCTGCAGTAGGAGAACCACTGAAAGAGTAGTGCCTGGAAACCTCATTAAGACCGTCTTTCAAACTATACATACATGTTATACTGTATTGCATTTATCGTTTATTTCCAAATAAAAAATTGGAAGTATATTTTGAGGGAATGGTCAAGCATGTTAAATATTGCTCGTAGACGGAAAAGATGAAAGTTGAGATTGACAGTTTATTTAGCAACAAAGAAGCCATGGTTATCCTAACAAGAGCAGTAAAAGATTGTCCAAAAATGAGATATTAAAAAAAAAAAAAATTAGGAGGAGAGGAAGGGAAGACAAATATAAAGAAATCTGTGTTTTATTTTGAAGGAGATGAGAAATACGATGGTAACTGAAATCAAAGGAAGTTAGTTTAATTTGGGAATCTGTTTATATGTTGATCCAGTAAAGAGGGGAAAATTTTACCGTACTAAATGACATGCACATAAGGATCTGCGTCTACTTTAGGATCTATTTTATGGGAATCTTGGTTCTTTTTGGACAGAGCCATAAGTACCCTAGATCTATCACCCAGTATATATCATTAATTCATCTGTTTGTTAGCAGTTTACCTGCTTTAAGAAATACTAGGGGACTGGCAAGAAACTCAGATAATCTCTGTTCTTGAGAAGATTATAATCTAGTTGACTAAATGGGGAAATAAGAGAGCACACACATCTTTAAAAATTCAAATTATAGGCAATCCACTTTTTAAAAATCTTTATGCTCCCCAGCTATCGGCTCCTGGTAATTGTCCTCAAGGACTGGATTACAGTGCCTAATACAGCAGGGGAATAAAACAGGTTCTTTCAGTCTCCATCCGGGAAAGAGATGAACTGGGTTGTTTATAAACCTTGATGAGGAAGAGAACTTGAACGGGGACAGGTAACTTCCTCTGAAAGATTAGGAGGAATAATAATTGTAACATTACTAATTTTTATCCACACATTTCACCTACGCTCAACTCGTATGTCATTAGCTTTCTATAAATGACTGAAATAATAGTTTGTAAAAAGGTAGACATTTTTTGTAGTATGTGGTAGATACTTTTATGTTTCTGTTTATACACACTTGGGGGTGGGCACAGAGAATAAAGACACTTGTTATGCAGCATTATTTAAGCAAGAGCGAGGGAAGATACAGATAGCCTGTCTGTACAATAATTGCTGTGCCCAGCAATTCCAATCATTGAAAGTGCCTTCTGGACCAGAGGCAGCAGGACTTGTGGCCAGATCTGCCGTCCCATTTCCTGTCCCCCAGTTAAACTCCCCTCTTTTCAGCGTTCCCAGACCCTGAGGAGGGAGCGGACGGCCGCCGTTCCGGCACACCCGGAGCGCTGGCGCGCAGAGTTCTGCGGCCTTCAGAGGCACGAGGAGATACACGCTGGTTCCCCGGCGCAGCTCTCGACAGCACCCTCAGCACAAAGAGCAGCAACGCCCTCACGGCAGTGTCTTCGGTGGAAAAAAACGGCTTGTATCGGTGTAAGAGGCGTTATCCTCCTCGTTTGCATTTCTTCCAGCCTCCCAGCTGCTAGTTCGCCGCTCTTCTGTGCCTTCAGCCTCGGAACAGTGGCTCCAAGGTTGCTCAGCGTACGCCTTCGCGTTCGGAATACACTCTGCGTATGACAGCCCGGCCTCACGGTGGTCTCACTATGGCAGGTACAGCGCGCTTCCCACGCCCCTCCCGCCGCGCTGCCGGCCGGAGCCGCCGCCGCTCAGCCACCCGCAGGGCCTCGGGCCGGGCGGCGCGAGCCGCGCACGAAGACGGGCCGCCGCCCAGAGCGTCCCGCCGCACGGCCGCTCTCGCTCTCCTCGCTCTCTATGGTCAGGAGCGCCCGCCCCTCCGCCGCCGGAAATGGTCAGGTTCTCTGACGCTTGCGCAAGGCCAGAAGTAGTTCCGGTTCCGGGCTGGTGATTTTCGTTCCTGCAGTTCGGTGGTCGCGGTTGGCGGGCAGTAACTGAGGCAACATGCTGCGGAATCTGCTGGTGAGCAGCTTTTGGCGTGGGCTCATGATGTGGGGCGGGGGCGTGGGGAGCGGAGGCCGAGGGGTCACGACAGAAAAGCCTCTCCACAAAGGCGAGGGCGGGCGGGTTCTGCAGTCACCTTGGTCCGTGTCCTTCGCGCCTGCCGTTGCCTTCGCTTCCATCGGTCGCTGTCGCCAGGCTGTGCTGGGTAGTGTGGGGAGTGGAGAGGCTGCGAAGGTGACCAGAGGGTGGTGGCAGAGACGAGCCGTGAGTGCGTGGTCGCCACGCCTGGCCCCGCGGTGGTGGGTGAGGTCGGGCGCTCCGATGTGAGTAAGCGAGGTCCAGGTGGGAAGGTCGGGTGCCCGGGCAGCAGCAGACAGAAGGACGCTCGTCTGACACCGAAAGGGTTTAAGTTTCACTGGTTGTGAGCTTTGTGAGCGTCAGAAGGCAGTTTAAAAAGCAAGTCGTGTAGTTTTGGGTGGGACTTGAGAACCAGGTATGGCCGCAGTGTTGCTCCGGTCATGCGGTTCTGCGCTGTCCTTCATTGCTCCGCCGACTTGGAGCGTGTGAAAAATTTCCCCAAGATTTCCAGAGAGGAAAAGTAACAGCGCTCGTTTTGTTTTGTAATTATGCAGTAAGGTTTTACTTAGCTTCTCAGTAGATTATTTGTTTTAGAAAGTGGAGTGCATGTTTGTTTCATTATTTAATTCAACTGGATGTATAATGCAGGTTTCTCTTTTAAAGACTTATACCCTGTTAAAGGTTTTTAAGGAATAATGTAATGAAACATTTTAATTAAGTAAGAGTCATACCAGTTTATTTTGATATCAAGGAGGTTTTAATAATACAGTATTAAAACAGTTGAGTTTAGTGCATTTTATGATTATTTTTGTAATCTCTGTATATCAATATGTTTTCCTCAAGGATTATGTAGTGCTGCTGGTTCAATTCAGGTAAAGATCATGGTTTTTTGTTTTGCTCAGAATCTGCATGCATCGCTTCTTGAATGTGGTCTTGAGAGACTGCAGAATCTAACAGAAAGAGCAGTGAATGGACAGCAGATGGGAAAACCTGGATTCTGGTTTATGACTTTGTTACTGACAAATCGGATATCTTTTAGCTCTCAATTTCCCTGTTCTATAATATGAAAGATTGGTTTTGAAGGTTTCTTTAAGCCCTAAATCTTTTTAATGTATACGGATTTTCCATTTCAGGGTCTTCGTCACCTTGCCCGGAGGACCATAAGTACTGCTTCCCGCAGGCAGTTTGAAAATAAAGTTCCAGAGAAACAAAAACTATTTCAGGTACTGAAATGTTTTATAGGCAGTTGTTATTTGTAATAATTAAGCTTTCAAAAGGTGGAGATAGGAAGTAAATCTGGAGACTCTGACTGTTAGTGATCCTGTTGTATTAGCAAAAGAATAAATAAGAAACTGCTTACTGATAGCTAATTGGGCATTAGCTGTATCTAAGAGGCCCTCGGGAAGCAGAAGAAATGAGAGGGAAAGGGTAAAGGTCAAAGACACTTTCTTTGGAGGAGTTATATTGGGCTGCCACTCTTTGGGGTAGTTTCACAGGAGTGGACAGATAGACCGTAGAAAGAGCCTAGAAACAGAATAAGTATATATGTAGAAATGTAATATATGTTAAAGGTGCTATTTCACATCAGTGGGGAAAGGATACAATAAATTGGTATTGGAAAAAGTGGCTATTTTGAAGTAAAGTTAGATGCCTTCAATATTGTATATTAAAAGGTAAATTGCAGATATAAATACTTCTGTCTCAAAACTATATTAGAGGAAAATATAGGCAAATATTCCTTTTTTCCCCCGTTTTATTGAGGTGTGATTGACAGATAATTGTATTTTTTTGTTGTGCCTGATATTTTTTTGAAGTGTACACTGTGATGTTTAATGTACCTATGAATGATTACCACAGTCAAGTTAATTAACAAGTCCATCACCTCACATAGTTAGCTTTTGTGTGTGTGTGGTAAAAGCAGTTAAGATCTACTCTCTTAGCAGATTTCAAGTATACAATACAGTGTTATTAACTATAATCACCGTAGGAGAATATTTTTATAATCTTAAGGATGGGGAATTCTTCCTAAGGAGTCTTTACAAAGCCTGTAAGCTATAAAAGAGAACAATTACAAGGTTTGGTGACATAAAAATTAAAATTTTTTTAATGTATTTTTTATGCATTTATGATTACAAGAGACAAGTGACAAATCGAGAGCAAATTTTTCAAAGGTTAATATCCTTAGGATACAAAGAACTCCTGCAAATTAATAAAATAAAACGTTATTAATTTTGTTCCCTATTTGATTGTCACAATTTTAGACAGCTTTAAATAGGTTATATCAGCCAGGTGTGGGAGACGGCTGCGTTCATACACAGCACTCTCATTCATGCTGGGTAGTAGCATAATCGGTACAGAAGTGTTAGAGAGGATTTGAAAGTATTGTTAAAAACAAGTCACATACCCTATCACCTAGGGCTCCCACTTTTAAGAATCTTTCCTACAGAAATAGTAGCATAAGTAGATAAAAATAGGAAAGAGGCTATTCGTTATGGGATTTTACCATAAAAACCCCATTTTACCAAAAAAACCCCAGCAACCTCAGTACCCTTTGATAGAAGACTGGCTAATTCAGTTCTCTTTTTGCACAGTTGAATGCTGTGTAGCCATTAAAAGGAATGAGGTAGGTTCAAATGGACTAACAGCATGGTTTTTAAGATGGCATTGAGCAAAAAATAGTATATGGTAGACCGTTATCTAGTATAGTCTCATTCTGTATATTAAATAAGTATTGTGTAAATTAGAAGATATGATAATAGAAGCATTAAAAATGTTTAAGGATGTGTACCATGCTCTTAGTGAGGAAAGACTTAGTGGGACAGAGCAGTTTACCTTTGTAAGTACTTAGGTTATCAATGATTTTTTTGTTTTATTATGATTTCTGGTTTTTACCAAATAAATTTTAAGTGATAAAAATCTTGTATCATATATACTACATAAAAATAAAATACTTATATTTAAAAGATGTATTAAATACCTACCGTATGCCAGGTGCCAGATTAGAGGCTAAGGATATAATTTAGGGTTATAAACCAAAACTCCCCTTTTTTTAAGGGAAAAAAAATCTTCCCTCTGACTAAGTCTAAAGTGTAATAATTAGTGATTTTTTTTTTTTTTGCTTCAGGAAGATTGTCCCTGAGCTAACATCTCTGCCAGTCTTCCTCAATTTTGTATGTGGGACACCACCAAAGCGTGGCCTGATGAGTGGTGTGTAGGTCCTGCCCAGGATCCAAACTACAAACCCTGGGCTGCCAAAGTGGGGCATGTGAACCCAACCACTTACGCCACTGGGCCTGCCCTAATTACTGATGTTTTTAATAATTAAATTGATGAATTCAATGAGCATACAGCTTAGCATTTACATGTTCCTTGGAAAGAACATCGTTATTAGATCTCAAATTAAAGGAAAGAATGTTGAGTTTTAGGAATTTTTATTTTAAAAGTAGTAGAAGAGAAGGAATCAGAAACATTACAGTCCTTTTTAATTTTGATATTTAAAATATTTTCATTCCATAGGTTTAAGGTGCCATTCAGTTTTACATGAATGGATTAATCTTTTGATATTAGTTGGAAACAGATGACACATGTATTAATTATGATTTTTTTTAACCTAGGAGGATAATGGAATTCCAGTGCATCTCAAGGGTGGGATAGCTGACGCCCTCCTGTATAGAGCCACCATGATTCTTACAGTTGGTGGTAAGACATTTGGAATGCTTGGTTTATAGAAAAGTAATAGGATAACTAATAGCTTCTTTGCTTTACTATGCTGATACTTTAACACAGGCAGTCTGTCTCTAGATTATGAGATCGTACTGCTTTGCATTTAAGGATTCAAGAGGATGATTGATACATATTGTCTAAGAGCATTTTAATATCTTTTAAAAAAATAAACCGATAAAGTTGGATGATTATCTTCTGATAGAGGTGGCTTTCAGAGTGTGCCACTGGTGGCCCTGCAGACCTTTGCAGGAACCAAAGACGTCCCCTCTACCCCGTCTGCTATAATGACCTTTTAAACATTGTGACTGTGATGCGTAATAAAAACACGTTTTACACCTAAACCCTTTATGTACATATTTATGACAGAAACAAAATTTGTACAGAGCAATACTTATTACTGTATGCAAAGTATGTTAATGTTTTTTCTGTGGCTTGAGCAGGTCCATTATTCAGTATTAGTGGAAGTCACAAATTGGTATACTAGGAGCAGAGTTAGGAATTGGAATGATTGCTCCCTCTGGGAGGAAGGGAGACTGTGTTAGAGTGATGGCTCTATGTTCATCCTCTTGATAGGAATTCCACATACATGGATTTCTGTAACCTTGTATGAAGTCTGTAATGTATCATTTTAAAGATGAAGAAATTTTGTTACCTAAGCTAATATTGTTTCTGTGTGGAAAAACAGATTTGAGCCCTAATTACAATGTCCTCCTGACCATGCCAGGGTGCCTTTGGCTTGAATTGACTACAGCGAAGGGGCATTTATGGATGAAGACAGCAACCAGATAGTGACATTTGGGCTTTCCTAAAATAAAGCCCTAATTTCTTTTTGCTAATGTGACTATTTAGATATTCTGGAATGTCTAGGTGTAATTGGTTTTAGTTTTAAATATAAATTAGTTTTTTTTTTAAAGATTCTTTTTATTTTTTTCCTTTTTCTCCCCAAAGCCCCCCAGTACACAGTTGTATATTCTTAGTTGTGGGTCCTTCAGTTGTGGCAGGGGGGATGCTGCCTCAGCATGGCCTGATGAGCGATACCGTGTCCGCGCCCAGGATTTGAACCCACGAAACACTGGGCTGCCTGCAGCGGAGGGCCCGAACTTGACCACTCAGCCACGGGGCCGGCCCCCCAAGTATAAATTAGTTTTAAAAATAAATTTCCAGTTATTAGCTATTCTTACATTAAATTGATTGTTTTAAAATTATATGTCACTGTTCCTTGGTTTTACATTGATAATACACTTCAGGGAAGGCTAGCGTATTTTGACCTTTTTTGGCGTTTGAGTCATTTTTAGCATTTCTGAGGCAATTATGTTAGTATAGAAATAACCTTAATGTGTATTCTTGATCTTATTTAAAAACTTTTTACGTGTTATTACTAAGTTGACAAATACATTGTAGTGCTGCATCTAACACTTTCTATAGACGTTAACTAATATTAAAATAGATTGTGTTTTACATATATTTATCTTAAATTTTGCCAGCACCTATTAAAATTCTTTTGTATGTTCTGATAAAAGTAGTCTTAATGCATACCTTGCCTTTATCTTCATAACTTTTTAGCTGGAATATATTAGGTTATACATTTAAATCTCAGAATTTCTTGCAAGTTCTTTTGTTTCTTTTTATTTTTCAGGAACAGCATATGCTATATATCAGCTGGCTGTGGCTTCGTTTCCCAAGAAGCAGGACTGACTTCAGTGTATCGTCCCAGCAGTCAGTTGGTTCAGTTTCATTCAGCTCTCTGTGGACCAGTAATCTAAGAAATAGCTGAATAATTCTTTGGGGATCAATATTTATTGACTTGTACTAACTGCCACCAATAAAACAGTCTTTACCATGCTTTGTTTTATTTTATCACTTGAGCATACATTATACCAATAATTTGAGCTTTTGGTCAGCCTTGTCAGTCTTAGATAAGGAGCAGAAAAAGATTCTTTTGTCATTAAGTTTGTATAAAGTATTGTGATGTTGTTTCAGTGACATTTTATTTTTAGCAGCTCAGAATTACACCCTGGATGGTCTTCAGCTTTAATAGAGCCTGATTATTTGAGCCTGATTGATTGAGCATATTTCCTTGAGTCCCCAGCCCCACTCCCTTCCCTGCTGTACTATATGCAGGAATGTGCTAGGACCTGGGATTAGTGGAAGCAGGTTATTTTTGGCTCATGGGGTTCAAGTTTTTTTCTCTCTCTTCGCGATGTGAATGTGTTTCAATATTGGATATATTCCACAGGTTAGAATTAGGCTTTCCTAGAGTCGCTGTAAAATAATTCAGTATTTGTTCTTTTCACACTCAGAATGGGCTCCTATTATGTTACTTTAATCTGTAACGTAACGTGTAACTTTCCTACACTTAGTTCATTCCTACACTTAGTTCATTTTTTAGAAATGAACTAAAAGTTGTCTTCCGGGGAAACTTGAGAGTCAAACTTTGTCGTCTCCTCTGCAGGGTATACATTTGCAACGCTGTGAAGATTAGAGTCTAGGTGCGTCAGATCTAGGGAAAATATATGAGTAAGTGTTCTATAAACTTCAATTTCTGGATAAAATTGAGAAAAGCAGTATATTTTTAAAAAATTGAGTCCAATCTGAAGTAGTGAAACTAAGTCTTTTTCTTTTAAAACATTGAGTCTTAAGGTATAAATTCATCTCAAAAGATACCAAGTAAATGATATTTCAGCCTTCAGTCTTGAAGGTTGGAAAAGATCTTGGTACCATATTATCTGGCCTACCAGTAAATGCAGGAATCTGCCCAATATTTGACAGAGTCTTAATACTGACATGGGCAGAGAACACTGCCCAGAAGGGAGTGGAATAAATATCAGTAGACATTTCTGAATACTGAGAAGGTTCTTAAATTGGTCTGGAATTCGGTCGAATTCAGTGATTCAGCACCAAAAAGCAGCCACTGATCAAAACAAATCATGAGTGTTTTACAAAGGAACGTTTCATAAATGTGATTTGAAATGCCTTTATGACAGGAGGGGATGCTGTTGTGTAGTAGGAAGGAAAAATGGTTTGATAACCTCTACGACCTTCGTCTCTTGATAGTGTGAGAGGTGCTTCACTTTTTCTGCTATAACCTATTGAGACAATTTATAAGACTTTTCTGTGCCAAAATACTCTGAGTTATGTTAACATGGCAAGATTGGGTAAAGTAAAAGGCTAAATGCTTAAGGTACTTTAAAATGTTTTTAAGTGCTAAAAGTTAATATTTGCTCTTCATTCTAAAATTCTGCATTGTAAGCAGGGGTGGAGAGGGGAGGAAGCAAAGGGGAAGATCTCGGAAGAGGGTTTGCCAGACAGAATCCTGTGGAAATGTCTGCTACACTTAGCATTTAGTAAGAGAGAGACTGCAATTATTGATAGATTTCAAAAACTAACCCATAGTCTCTAGGACAGGGTCCATAAGAAGTATTGGAAATGTAGCCTTCAGGAAATAAAACCACCACCTTTCCAACCTCCTTTTTGTCTTTACCACACAACATTATCATGTTGAGAATACTACCTGTTACTAAATAGAAGAAATTTCATGTTGATGTCATTCCACTAATATAAACACCATGGGACATATGTTTAAGTGATATTTTGTTAAAATTAGTAGTATGGTCAAAATTACATTTGCAGTCTGTAAGTGGTGTAGATGAAGTTAAACCGTCAAGTTCATGGTCTCCCCAGTATACTTTATCTTATCAAGTGTTTAATTAAACATTGACTGGGATAGCTTTACTATGCTGTTGATAGCGATGGATGCAAATAAGGAATACCCTACCATCCCCTATACAGTCAAGCTTGAAAGAGTGATCAGTACAGTCTCCAGTTTTATTTCTCAGTTTCACCTTGTTCTCTCTGTATAATCTGCAATCTACCTATCTAATAACATTTGTCTCTTCCACTTTGTATTTGAGACCCAAACTTGGTGCTCTCATCACCAGCCATATCGCTCTGCTTCTTCCTGCATGCATACTTTTTCTTGACCCCCCTGGGAGAGCTTCCCAGATTCTGGAACGTTTGGAACTTCTGACATTCTCCCCTTTGCTCTCAGTGTTCCCTGTACTCATCTTCATCAGGAGTTTCACCCCTTTGAATTTAATTGTAGTTGTTGATAAGACTGGGAACCAGTATAGCATTGTAATTAATCACACATATGATGGAGTCAGAAGACCCAGCTTCAAGCCTAGGATCACCACAGGTAACTAACTTTGCTAAGCTTGTATCATCTGTATAAATGGAATGATACCTTGTGTACATGGGTTTTCTAATGCACGTAAAGCAGAGAATGGTTTCTGACACATACCAAGTGTGCGATAAATGTTAGATACTTGTATTGTTAGCTCTTTGACAGAAGGATTCATATCTTTTCATCTCATCTCCCTGTCAACTTGGCAGAGAGCAGGGATCATGAGCTGGTCAGGGCTGCTAGGACAACGTTCGTGGTTTCATGCATGTCCTAGGCACTTTCTGGCTTTTGGCTCTGCTCTCCTTAGTGTGTGGCTTTCATTCTTGTGAGATAGCTGCTGGAGCTCCAGCTATTATGTTTGTCTTCCTGCAGGACTAAGGAGGATTTGTGAAAGAGCACATGTTAAGTAAGTGAGCCTTCTTTAAAGAGCTTCAGAAGCCCCACACAAAGCCTTAGCCTGTATCTCTTCAGCTAGACCTTTTTGCATGATCATGCCTGGATTCAAGGAGACCAAGCTGGGCATATGGCCAAGCAAGATTGGAGTTCTATTCAATAGGAAATAGAGACGGGGTATTGAGTTGGCAACTAACAGTCTTTCCCTCAGCCAGTTTGTTTTTTACAATAATGAAGTCAACACTGGAGGAGACAGGACCTAGAAGCATTTCAGTTCCTAGCTCTACTTGTTTCTGATGCCCACATCCATGCCTGTTCTTAGGCACAATTGCATTCTGTTGGCCAAAAACTCCCTTTTTGCTTGAGTTAGTTCAGGTAGGTTTCTCAACTAGGAGTCAACCAAAGCAGGATTTCCTGAGTTTCCCACCTATCATACCATCTAAATGAACCACAGTTCTACTATTTACCCTAAAAAATAGGTGCAGCATCATGGCAGAGTGAGCTCTTCCCTTAGACTCTCCCCCCAAGATACAATGAAAAGAACATTCATAAACTGACAGAGGACATTCACACGACACAGCAGGCATCTGAGATTCCACACAGCCATACATCTGAAGGTGGAGGTGCTGGGGCCCCCAGGAGGAAGTGGAAGGAGGTAAGGGGATCTCCTCTCCCTCCCCGGCAGTGACTCTGGGCTCTGGGCTGCACACAGCTCTGAGGAAAGAGGGGAGGGGGCAGCTTCCCATGAGGACACCTCTGAGTTCCCTCACAGCCCACAGGAAAGCTGTATAAGAGGAGGCTAAGCTATTGCAGAGTTGTCTTCGTCAAGCCAGCACCCTAGGAGGGCAGGTAGTGAGAGCAGAGCGAGAACACCTCCAGGATCGCACACATGAAAGAAAGTGCCCCTCTCTCCTGCCAGGTGCTCCAGCTCAGCTAGTTGGCCAGAGTGCCTGTGCATATGTTAGAAAAGCAGTAGCTGTAAGCAAGTGAGCCAGCCGTCATAGATGGGCCCTATCAGCATAGATTCCAAAGGACACAGATGCCTGGGATCACAGCAGGCTCAGAATACACAGCTCCTGACCGCCCACCATGGTGGTGGCAGTGGGAATCTGCAACCAGATACTATCACTATGTGAAGGTACAAATCCACCCCATCAAGCAGTGTGAAGAGGTATACTAATGGTCCAGACCAGAAGGAAAATGACAAGCACCCAGAAATCAAGCCTGAAGGCACAGAAATTTACAGTCTAAATGATAGAGGGCTCAAAATAGCTATCATAACCTCAATGAGTTACAAGAACATTCAGATAGAGAGTTCAATGAAATCAGGAACAAAATTAGTGAACAGAGAATTTTTCACAAAAGAGATTGGAACTATAAAGAAAAACCAATCAGAAATGTTGGAGATGAAAAACACAATGACTGAGATAAAGAAAAATCTGGACTCCCTGAATAACAGAGCTGATATTCTGAAGGACAGAATTAGCAGTCTGGAGGACAGAAATATTGAAATGCTTCAGATGGAGGAGGAGAGAGAACTAAGACTAAAAGGAAATGAAGAAATTCTCCGAGAAACAGCCTACTTAGTTGGGCAATGCAACATAAGGAGTATAGATATCCCAGAGTGAGAAGACAGGGAGAATGGAGCAGAGCTTGTTCAAAGAAATAATAGCTGAGAACTTCTCAAACCTGGGGAAGGAGTTGGAAATAGAAGTAAAAAGAAGCTAATATATAACTCCTAATTATATCAATGTAAAAAGATGTTCTCCAAGACATATAGTAGTAAAACTGGCAAAAAGTCAATGACAAAGAAAAAAATATTAAGGGCAGCAAGGCAGAAGAAAATAACTTAGAAGGGAAGCCCTATCACACTTTCAGTGGATTTCTCAGCAGAAACCTTACAGGCTAGGAAAGAGTGGAATGATGTATTCAAAATTTTAAAGACAAAAACTTTCAGCCAAGAATACTCTATGCAGCGAAGATATCCTACAGATATGATGGAGAAATAAAAACTTTCCCAGGTAAACAAAAGCTAAGGAAGTTCATCACCACAAGACCCCCTCTACAAGAAATGATCCAGAAGGCCCTCATACCTGAAAAAAAAAAGTTTACAAACCCTTGAGCAAGGAGATAAATTGGCAGACAAAATCAGAAACTTGTAGCTCTCTATCAGAACATGTTAGCAAACAATTATAACATTAAAGATAAAGGGCAGGAAAACATCAAAGAATAACCATAATCTTGTTATTTTAACCACAAACTCGCA